CTTAGGGAAAATGAAATATTTTGCAAGAGGTTCTGAGTGGGATTTTGATAAAAATGTTTATAGATTCCTAATGCGGAGATGAAAACACTGGCATGACAGAAAAACATCTGACTCTCCTTGGATCTAGAAATGTCTGGATCTCATAATTAATTCTCTTTAAAGGAGGAATTAGTTTTACTTATGCAATATAGTTTTTACTTTGTGGGGAAATAATGATACCAAAAGCCCAGAACAGGACATTTGCACTGAATTTAATTGCTGAAATTAATTTCAGGAGCATGCAGTTCCCACTAAATATCCAAACAAAAAGAGAGAGGGTCCTGGGAACTTGAGAACAGTGAATTTATGATAGTTATAAGATGATTTTCCTAGTTACTAGGGAGCTTAGGAGCTCTGTTTCTACAGTAGCATTGCCAAAGCATGTGGTGAACAGGAGACTGGTGTGTTCTAATTTCATGGCAAGCTGCCATTCTGTCTGCCAATGAACTGAAGAGGAAAAAAACAAACAAACAAACAAACAAAAGTGAGTAGTGATATATAAGCTGTTAGAAAAGTAGGCAAATCTTCCTAAAACATAAAATGATTTCATGAAAGACAAATCTTTTGAGTCAAATTGTATTGTCCCACTTGATAACCATAAGAAAAACAAAATTGCTCATGCCTCAAGCTCATGGGTGCAAAGAGTAGGAGAGCATCTGAGAATCACTTATGCATTTACTGTATGTTTCTTTGGGGCAACAGACTACTTTGTATTAGTGATAAGTTTTATTGATGAGGATGTGGCATGGTAATACCAATAGTGAATTGAAAATAAGATATTAAGATACTTTTTTTGTTTAGGTTTTTAATATTCCTGCAACTCAGTACCTGTAAAACACAGGTATTAAAAACACAAGTATTATTTCCCTACTTCACTGTGAACTTGGGAGGATAAATAACATTTTGTGTGTGTGTTCCCAGTATGTTGGTTTTAAACATGTTCCTAATCTAGTTGTTTGTTTTTTTTTTGTTTTTGTTTTCAACAGCAGCAAGTAAACTGGCAGAGTGAACACTGAATCATCTTCAGTGTGAAGAGCTAAGTCAGATGAATACTGAAATAATATGTACTTCTCTTTTGTTTCTTCTGCTGATTCATAACTCAGATTAGTAAGGGGATTTGTGAATTCTGTAGAATTGTAGATTTATTTAATTACAATACAGTGCATGGACATAAACCTCTAATGAAGATATACAACTTTAAGGTGGAAAGTTACAGTAAGCAGGCTGTTTAAGACACACCACATCTGTTTAAGACCTTCCTTACCCCTTTGACATAAACCAATAATAGAGGCATCCATTAATGTGGATGCAACAGTAGAGTTTTATGGCTGCAATAGTCCTTCGATGGGGAGTAAAAGGAAGAAATGTGCTTCCTTTGCTGAATCACCAGCTAGGAGCCACAACATTTTTAAATATGCCTCTTAAATCTACCGTTTTTTTGTTTTAAATGATTACTTCATGACCTTAAAAATACCATCACAAAGTTTCTTGGCTTTGTTGTTATTTACTTGCAAATACAGTCACTTTAATGCTACAAGTATGTATTTTATGCACCTTTTTTAATAAAGATTGAGTTTGCAGCTAGAAACCTTTTGAGATTTGAGGAATATATACAGTATCTAAAATATCTAATCCTTCCTTCCCCTTCCTTCCAAAAATAGTCACTCATTGGATAGTTAAGTTATTTTAAGAAAACTGAGAAATATCATTACTGTTTCTATTGTTCTGGAAAAATATCTTGTTACAGCACTTCTGATATTTGTAAAACTACTATATTAAAAATATGAGATTATTTAAGGTCAGCAGGAACAGGAAAAAAAAAAAAAAAGATATATGCCTTGTAAAGCTCACTGTAGATATGAAAATAAACATCCAGAATAAAGGCACGAGCTTACCAGAGAAATATAAATGATACAGATAATATTCTGCAGAGACAAACAAAATCCCAAATCTGATAAATTTTGTATTAGAAGAAAGATTATGGCAACAAAGGGCAAGACTAGAGTATTTTTTTTTACTTTATTTTATTTTTACACTTAAAATAGTTGAAGAGTTTCATAAACACTTTTTCATGATTGACTTTAAAGTGTCACAAGTGGGACTGAGCTCTACATAAGGTTGGGGTAGAGGACATATACAGAAAGTTCTACCCTTTTTAATGTTCTTAGTGTGCATCTTCTATTTTACGCCTCCAAAGATAACAGACAAATTCTCTTGCATGCTTTTCTCCTTCACTATTGAGAGAGGTCACCTGTAGCATTGATCCTGGAAATAGCCCCTCAAGGGAATCATTCCCCATAGACATGGATCTTGTTGTGTTAGAGCTATAATAAAAGCATGTTTTCTAAGAGAACATGTATTTAATTATACATCAGGTCTACATTGTTTAGGTTTAGAAAGGTACTCTGAGGCTGAAGTTTGTTTCTAATCTAAAGTGGAGGGGACTTTTTTCTTCCCCTTCCAAATTTTATATCAAGTGCTATGTAAAATCTTAAAATGAAGGTTAAAGCTATGCTTATGTTGATCTTAGGTTAGAAAAGGCTTGAAAATAAGTGTCTTCCAAGCTCTTTCCTTATTCGTTAAACTTTTGCTGTGGAACAGGTTGCAATAACAAGAATCAAGATTCTCACAACTGATTAACTTAACAAAATGTCACTTTTTTTTTTTTTTTACATAAACAAGCATTACTTCAGTCATCTAGTGTATTGATCCTCTTTTGCTGCTTTGAAATATCATGATATCAGTCTCCATATGCGTATTTCCTTAAAAGAAGTTAAAAAGAGAAAGAGAGAAAAAACACTGAAAGTTGCCGAATGATTTCAAAGTCTGCAGAATTGATGTGGGCATTACTTCATTAGGATTTCCCTTACAGAGAAGGATTAATTTTTTTAGATTAACTTAAATCTAGGGTAAATACTGAAGATACTGAGGGATTAAATCAATGTTACCGTTTAAGTCTTCGAGTATCAAAGTGACGATTATAGCAGAATAAAGAGCAAAATTACTCTTACTGAACAGCTTCTTAGTAGGTGTGTTCAACCTTTTCTTTTTTTTATCAGATAATTAGGGATGTTTTCATAATCTTTGTCTCTTTATTCTAATACTTCTTCTGTACTAGAAAGACTGAGATAGGAAGAAAGAAAGAGGAAAGAAAAGCAAAAAAAAAGGATGAAAGAAAAAAAAGTCTTGCAACATCTATGCAAATGATCAGTTTCTTCTTAACATAACCTGGTTCCATCCTCCACTACACTTTTTATTTTGTTTTCCTTCCAGTACTCATGGATATTTGCTGTTTACAAGAATTTGGTATGAACAACTGTACATGGAAAAGAACAGTCAAACATTTTGACATAGGTGACATAGAATTTTGCTTCAAAGGCTGAAGCTGAGAGAGTAAGAACCCAAGCCTACGAGGTAAAACCCTTAGAATAGTTAAGAGAGTCTGTGCTGTCAGCTGCAACTGTGACTTTCCTGGAAAGGAACTGTAACTGAGAAAGGCACATTTCTTTTATCTTTCACTTTTCTATTCTCTTTCCTCCTGTATTTGTAGTCTGCCTCATAAGAAGACTGGACTAGACTCTAGCAACAGGACTAAAAGTGCCATCTCAAATATATTCCTTTCTCTACCCAGCAAGGGCACTTCAAATTCTTGGAGAGACCAGTTGAAAGGAAGGAAGAACAGGAAAGATTATTAAAATGGAGGTGTGTTTAAGGTTGTTTTGGGGTGGTTCATCAGGTGGCACTGTTTCATATAGTCAGTACATCTTTTCATGATGAACAATATACTTACTGTTTGAGGACTGCTATAGCTGTTTTGAGAATCAAGGTTTCTTTTTGAGGGAGGCTTTGTCAGCAGGCTTGAAAGCGCCCTTTGCCAGCATCATCCAGGCTGAAGCAAGTTCTGCAAGTGGATGCTGCACAGCGTTCAACTTCCTCCAGCTTCTGCTCCAGGGACTTGATGGCTGGCTGTTCAAGGGCTGCTGCTCAAGGACTTGTGCAAGTAAGCAAGGGATAATAGCACTATTAATGCTATGGCTCTCTGGAAAATATATCTTGCCCAAAGTACTTCTTTCTGTCATCATGGCTTTAAATGACAGGCATAACTGCATTAATGCAGTAGACTTTGCTGGGATACTTATTTCTGATGATCAACAGCACCGTCTGGAGCCAGAAAAGCCCATATTAAGGAGGCTAAGATTGATTAGGCCATAGTGTGAAACAGGGTGAATCATTACATAGCACTCTGAAACAGGTCTCTAGAGATGTGCCAAGGACAGTCTCTTTCAAGTTTCAGTGAGGATGTTGAAGCACTACTTCCTGCCTGTTGGGGTGCACGAGAGGTAGCCACAGATAAGAGCTACCAACTCTGTGGAGAGCAAAGGAAGGGATGGAGCTGGCTGCTCACTGCAGTACATTGTCCAAATGTTGCTGTGCCTTTGCAGACTGGCATTATAGACAGATCGTGCTGCTTCAGATGCTGTCTGGAAAATTGATACAGCCTTTTAAATCACCTGAATGCTTTGCCATCACTATTTGCTGAGCAGCATAACTCCAGGCATAATATGCTTATGGGGGTATTTTAATTCAGCAGGCTGATCCTGCCATCTCACGGTGGTGGCTGGGGAGAGCACTAAGCCTCCCCTGTTGTACTGCGGGCTGGGGCTAGGCCAGACGTACATGTATGTTTGGGCCTACGCCCAGGTCCACAGCCCACAGCAAGGCAGCGGGGCTATCCACGGGTCCAGGCCAAGGCTGAAAGCCGCCTCGAGGCCTGGGCGGCTTAGACAGTGGTGTCCCTGCTTGCTTCATCATTACCACCGCTTGCAGCTGTGGGCCAGGGCCGTGGGCTGAGCCACCACTGTTGAGCAGGTGCTTCAGATGAGGGCCCAGCCACCTGTGAGTGCTCTGCTGAGCTGATGAGCCCTCAAGGGTTTGGCACACGGACGCATGGGGCTTGTTTACCTCAGCAGCAGCACACCAGACTCCTGCTTGCATAGCCCACTACTAAGTGCAGTGGCAGAGGAGAAAGCTGTTCTGCAGCTGGGTGAGCCCAGAATGGCCTGCTTTGTTTATGCCTCATCCCTGTCTTTTCAGGGTAAGTGGAAGCAAAATATCATTTGTATGATGGGTTTCTTGCAAAAGGTGTCCAGTTACCTTGCATGCACCAGCAGAAATCAAAACGTGTGCGGTGCGGCCTCAGAGTGAAATGGCTGGCTTGTCCTGACAGCGTGCACTTCTGTATGGACATCATCGTTTAAATCCTCTGCCTATTGCCTACACCTCAAAAATTATATAGACTTCAAAAAATAACAGGATTGGTCTAAAGAGCTTGGATGTGATCACAAACTCCAATGATCTTTGGCCCTTTTGTGTAGGGGAGGAAGAAGAAAGAAGGGAAGCGGGTAGGCATAGGGGGATAAAAGCAATTTTACATTTCTTCCTTGTTTAGTTGAAGCACAAAATGCTACAACATTTCACTGTCATCTCTCTAATTAAATGTTATTCTTTATTTGTTAAATAGCTGGAATAGCATTTTGGCAGAAGGGGCTGGAAGCCTTTTTCAGCTATTTCTTTTGTTGTACCATATTCTTAGTCAATTAATTTTAGTCTTTCTGTATGTTACAGCTAATGTTACAATATTACTAGAATAGCAGTGCTTTCTCAGATATCTTTGGTATTATAAAATTAAAAATGATTAGAAATGGAAAGGGCATTTTCCATTAAATTCTTCATTATCTTTTGTAGAAACACGTAAATTAGTTTTGAAATCCTTAGCTGTTATTTCATGAATGAGTACTTTCTCTTGTCAGTAGGCATGTTTTGTTTTTGTTTTTTGTTTTTTTACTCTTACTATTAATTCCTATAAATCTGTCTTTTTTAAATCCAAATTTTAAAGTCAGTGTTTATTTGATATATATGTTCCTTTGATGTAAAATTTTGAATTCAGCATGTTAAGGAAGGTTTCCAAATTGTTTATAATATAGCTTATAAAATAGTGTTACCCTTACAAGCCTTTCAGATCATGACTTTATAGGGTGAGTTTCCAGAAAATTTGCCCTCTGGCCGCTCTTCTGGTGAAGAGTGTGAAAGCATGCCTGATTTTCTAATTTTCCCAAGGTTAAAAATCGTAGCTGAATAAATAATCTTCACAATTTTCTTTTACACAGAAAGGCATATAGTGTGTATATATTTATATATACGCTTTTTTGACACTATTTAAAACTGAAATTTTACCAATACTCAAGGTCATGTCACCAAAAGAAAAAAAAAAAAGGAAAATTTACTATTTTTTTTTTTTTTGAAATTTCATTATACCAAAATAAAGAAATGTGGATAATATTATAATTGTCTTTTTCCTAGGTAAATTAGTCACTGCACCAAATTATGTAAGAGCTTCCAAATTGATATGCCTTGTTGTCATGGTATTAAAGAAATCAAAGACATTTAACATTTGAATTTTTTTTTTTAACTTTCTTTAAAAGATAGGCAATCTGTATACATGCGTTTGTCCAACTGGTCGCTCATTAGTTTGGTCAAAATTGGCTTGAGGTTTTAATGTTCTTAATATTCCTTTGAGTATGGAAGGAACTTAATCTGCATAAAGCATATTTAAGTTCATTATACTGAGCTCATTATTGTTCCTTCTTTTGTAACTGATACATCTGATACATGAGCTTGAGGTTTTTTGTTTGTTTGTTTATTTGTTTGTTTTTAAATTCAAGGGAATTCTTAGCAGACGCTGTTTTATCCGTTTTTTCTAGTGTTTTCTTTACAGGGTTTTCTTCTAAAATTATTTGTGAATTACAACTTCTCTACCTTTGAATATGTTCAGATTATGTGACAGAAAAAAAACTCACATACTTTCTTCAAGTTTTCTACAAAGTTTTAGTAACAGAAGTGAACCGTAATCAGTGTGTTTTCTTTCATTTCAGTTTGATTTTGATTGGGTGCCCAAGCTACTCTTGGTATAAAGTATTAAAATTCTTCGCTTATTCTTATGACAAGGTGTATGACCTTTCTCTTTTCTTGCATTATTATTCATCCTTTTTTGATAACATTGGCATGTTATTTCTAGTGCTCTGACATTCTTGGCATCCTGCCATGCTTTTTATGCTTTTGACCCAGAAATGTTAGAAAGGGAGGAATGTTTTTTAAGAAGTCTGTTCCTACAGGAAAGGTAAATACATTGCTTTAAAGAAACTACCTTTCTTCTACCATTAAGGCTTTTGTTTTGCTTTGTTACTTTTTTCCCCATGCCCCATGAAAAATTAATCTTGATGTATGCAGCTACATGTTGAGTAGTGGATTTGAAAATAATCAGTCAGTAGTTCTGGCCTGACAGTCTGTGAAGTAAATTTACAGCAAAGTCAGGTAGCTGTTGTGGCTGAAACTCTAAATTAAATCATATTTTACGTTCTTTTGTACTACTCCAAACAACAAAGTTCATTGTGATTGGTGAGATATAATATTTCAGATCCAGTTCTTACTATAAAACCTATGATTCTGAGACACATGATAGACTATTATCTGAACAATATTTCTGTATACTTACGTTATTTTGCAACAAAGAAAATCAGTTTCAAATATTTGAGATAACCCAATATAAATTATTTTAGGGAAAGATAAACGTCAAGCACACATCTTACATGATGCAATTAATAGAAAAATCTTTTTCTCATAATTCTGTTTTGCTGCTTTCCACATACTCAAATATAATGTGTAGGTACTGATCTAAAGTATTGTTGCAAATAAAGTATGGAATTCTTTATAATCTTTTTTTCATGAAGTATATAGATCACTGTGATTGTTTTGCTGCTTTCCACATACTCAAATATATTATTATATATTTTTATTAACTGCTTATTATTTATATTATTATTAACTGCTTACTCCAGGAAGGTTTTCAAGCACATACAGGTTAAACTGTCATTGACATTTTTGATGTTTTTTTCCTAGATAAGATCTTAAAATTCAACAGCATAGTGTCCTTAATTTATGCGTAGAGACATGAAGTTGTGCAAGGTGGCACAACTGACAGAGATTTGCAGAGTTCCTCAGCAGAAACATGTTTGTGCTTCTTCTGATCTGATACGTAGGTACCTGAATTAGGTCTGCACTTTTGTCCAGTGTATGCATGTGTATTCATGTCTATAATAACCTTTGGCAGGTGTGATAACTCCCTGACTTAATTCCTGCATAGGAGGAGGTGTGCACTCTTTGATTGAAAATCCAGAGGCTAGAGCATTTGCCCAGCTTGATGGGTGGTTCACATTAAACAGCTTCACCTGAACCAAATCTGAGAGGGGGATCTTCATTTGAAGATTCCTTTTCTTCCCTGCTATTTTCCCTATGCTAACTATTCCATGTTTTTTATTTGTGTGTGTGTGTGTTTTCGTTTGTTTTTTTCCTAATAGCAGGAATTTTGCTTTCTCTGCTATACAATGAAATAGCTTTGAAGAATGTTTCGCTACTGGTTCTAAACTCTAACTTCCCAGTTAGCTAATTCCCTAGCTGAGGTATAGTTGATGAATTTAAATACTCGCTGGTGGTGATAACATATATTTTCCATTTTCTAAATGATTTTTTTTTTCAGTTTGCTTCTGAGATGCTGAAAAAGCCAAAAAGACAGCATCTCTTTTCATGTCTATTATTTAGAGACAAAAGGCACTGAGGATGACCTACTGACCTACACCTGGTCAGATGTTTTGGGCATGCTCTGACCTCAGAGTTTGAAGTACTTTTCTAATTTTTATCTAATTTCTATTTGTCAGTGTATGTACCTTTAGACATCTAAGTTCCTCGCCTCAACCTGAGTCGTGGTGGACTTACATTCATTGGGGATCTGCAGGTGCGCAAGAAACCAAACATTTCTAGGGGCTGTCCAGGTGTCATCTGTATTTTCTATGTAATTTATACTTAAAGTGTTTTATTCAGCCAATTCTGGCTGTGTATCAGGGCAACACTTTTCAGTGCAATACAGTATTTCGCCAGTGAAGTGGCTAAAGAATTGTCAGAACAAGATGCACTGTATGGAAACTTCCAGTACCAAATACAAATAAATTCAGTAGAAATGAGTATTGCTTGAAAAAGATCTAAGTCAATATGACTTTTCTGACTCAAGCTGCTTTCTAAAAGGAAAGATAATTCAGAAATGTAGTCACTTTTTATAGTCATCAGATTAATTCACAAAAATTGATTCATTGAAACTAGTCAGCCAATACAAACCAGTAGGACAGAATTCATACTCTTTCATATATTCTATGAAACCCTTGTTCCTCTCACACCTGTTGCTACCCTGCTAGCCTTAGGAAAATTATGACATTGTTAGTAAATTTCTCTTTACATTTGGAGAGTACCTTTTGCAAGCTCAGTAAATCTCAGATGGTTTTCAGATGGAAGTACTTTGGGGGAGATTAACAAAAGAACAAAAAAAATCATAGCCATTTTTCATTCAACAGCAACAGGAAGATAAGCCTAGGAGATGTACACAGGTCTTTTATTAACTGTTTTTGAATCCTCACTTTGACTGTTTAAAAAAATATTTGTCTCAAATTCCTTGCATTTGCAGATAAAATAATGTGCATTCACTAGATTCAGAAGTCATGCTTGAGGATTGTGACATAGAGTATTACCAAATATTCTGTGACTAATGGATTGTCACAACATTACAGAGCCATGTTGGAGCAGTTCTTTAAGAGTTGCTGCCTGTGGGCAGCCCCCGCAGGACCAGTTTGGGAAGGATGGCATCCCGTGGGAGGGAGCCCACGTGGAGCAGGGGCAGAGAGTGACCGTGAAGGAGCGGTGGAGATGACTCCCCTTTGGGAAAGGGGAGTGAGAGGTCGATTTGTGGTTGCTCAGCATGGAGGAACCACCACACAAACTGAAGTTCTTTATCAGTATATTTTGAGTGTCCTACAGTAATCTGACTAGAAAATATCTTCAGTTATCATTAGCCAATCTGATCTCATGGGTCCCTGTCAATGGCAGGGAGGTTGGAGTTAAATGATCCTTAAGGTCTCTTCTAACCCATCTTTTCTATGATCATCCAGATTTTAGAAACCAAGGAATTATTTCATATTCTGTGAGTTAATTCAA